GGAAGCACCCCCTCCCCTCGCTGCTCCTGACCAGCCAGCAGGGAGTTGACAACACAGTGTTTATCAGCCCATTAAGAAAACAAAAGCCTCCCTCATTAATTCAAGTTCTTCTTAAACAACTATTTCCAAGGAAGGAATGGGAGGTTACCAGCTGAGCTGTTGATTAACTCCAAAAAACAGTAAGCGGTTGCTGTCCTGTCTGCCTTACAGACACCTCTCAGCATTAACTAGCACATGTGCTGGCTACAGTCTGTGATGTGGGACAGGGGAACGGGGAATCCCTGCTTGAGCAGGGAGTGGTGGGGCACAGGAAAGCCAGGCATACGCTGCTGTGCCTGCCATCTCTGCCAGAGGTCCAGCAGGGGGCGGGGGCAGCCCAGTTATCTAAAACAGAGAGCCCCACCCAGGGCTGCAAAGCATCTGGGATGCTGGGGGACTCTGGTTTAACTTAAACCAAGAAGCGGTCTGGGACAGACATTGCATAAACCGGTTTGAGCCAAATCAGTTATGTCTGATACTACATTCAGCCAGGTTTATCTCAAACTGGTTTCAGCCACTTTCAAACTGATTTATGTGCACTGATTGTCTGTTCTGTTACAGGTTTAAACCAGTTCCTGATCACTTAAACCTGTTTGTGTGTAATGTCTGTCCCTAGCCTTAGACTGCAAACTTTTATAATTTTATTGGTCTTACGTTATTTGGTGTTTTTCATAAAGGCCCAGCAGCTGGAGTCATTTGACTATGTGAGTCTCTGATATTTACAAACAGGTTTCTGTCCCTTTAGACTTGTAGGAAAAAGTTTGAAAATATGACTAATAAGAGTTCACAAGCAAGAAGGCCAACCAGGAAACTCATTTGAACCCTTCCTTTCCCCTCTTGTTTTAAAGGCAATCTCATGATTCGGGGGCATTACTTATGTTTAGGGTTTGCAATACTATACATTTATGTTGGACAACAAACTTAAACATCATTTGCTTAGTAACAGTCTTAAAAACAGCAAGCATGGATCCAGATGCAGGGCTGGATGCCGGAGCTGAATGCACATGCATCAGAAAAATGATCTCACCCTTTGGTCACAGCTGAAGGACATTGGCAGGAGTGTAAGGGGTACTGCCTGTATTGTGGATAATCAGTAGTCTCATTTGCAAGCAGAATTATGATGTTGGATCTCCAAATTAACTTGAAAAAACTGCATAGCTGGGAGAAATGTAAAATACTTAAATTAGTTTTGAGTGTTGGCATTGTGCTTAGGACCTTGCAAAACTTGAAACATGACACACACTGCCTGAAAAAGTCATCTAATTATACTGTCATTACTGGCCTAGGATTCAACCCTGCATCTGGATCCATGTTTGCTGATACAGATATGAGGTCAAGATGTCAGGTGCTTAATTAGTGCATCAATATCATTCACAAACCGATATATAGTGATGGACTAGGGAAGTCAGGAAGAGAGTGTGTTCTTCTTTGAACAGCTTATACATTGTTTCCACATACTGTCTCTGATAGTGGGATACAAATTGGGTTTTGATCAGATGCTATTGAAATTACAGTTTCTTTCAGCAAATGTTAGGCTATGGCTACTCAGCTGTCCTGTTGACATCACAATGGAAGTGAGCTGCATTTTGAACTGCAGTTTGAAAGCTGAGTTCACATTTTTGCAGTGTTGTTTCATAATTTCTTTTTAAAAAGGCAAAAATAATATGCCAATCAATAGTATTCTAAGCAGTCTAAGACTGTCTTAATTTATACTAATACAAATACTTTTGTTGACTCTTAAAGGTATTAGTAAAAAACACAAAATAATGTCTATAATCTGCAGATAATAAGTTTTCAGATTACTTCTTTATATCCACTTTAAGATTTTTTAAACCTGCCCGCCAGCACTTGCTCTGCAGAAATATATATATATTTTTTATTTTAACGTTCACAATTTGATGATTAAATGTCTGTCATCTGCCCTCTTGCAGCTCAGACATGAGGAACGGATTGATTTTATTCTATATGCAGTGGTTGCCAAAATCAGACTTCATTAGACCAACAAGAGAATCAGATCTCCGAGTGAGGAAGCACTTCCTGTGAAAAACCCAGTTCCTAGAGTTTTATATCCATCATAGTAGTTCTCAGCTCTCATGGCAGTATGGAAGGGAAAAGGTAGCATTCCTATTGCTGAGCATGCAGAAGTGGATTCCTATGTCCAGTATTTCTGGATTTTGTGCCACATCTGTCATGACGTTGCAGGAAAAAATTCTCTTTTTCTATGCTTGCTTTTTTTATATGATGGTAGAATTACTTGTGTTCACAGTAGGGCTACTTTGGAAAACAAATGGACACATCTGACTTGAATGTTACTTACTTGGTGAATGTCATGAAATATGGGGATGTGTTGCACTTTACTGTACATACAGGTAACCTGAACAGGGTACACACTTCAAGGGTCAGGCATATACAAGTGTTTATGTACTTTTGAAGAAATGGGCTTTTTTTATTTGGGGAAGGAAGTGTTTACAAGGCTGGATGTGCAGCCTTTAATAGTGGAGAGTACTACTATCTGTCTGTCTCTGTGAGGAGGTTAGACTGTCACCCATCATACTATCAGAATACATGTACAATGAATACCAGTACTGAAACCCCAAGTGGATTTTGTGAAAGGTGTTTCTTTCCCTTTCTTGGCTCAAAATTCTGCTTTGGGATACAGTTTTGATGTGGTGTAGGTTTTTTTGTGAAAGTGGGGAAGTGAGAGAGATGAGCATGATGGAGATCTCAGGTTCATTGATGAGTGCCATTCAGTGATGGAAATGTTTTTCCCTGCTACTTGCGTTTTAGCACAGTGGTGGTACAGGAATCAGCATGCTACTCAGCCAGCCACCCTGTGACAGATGAAGAAATCACAGAAAGGACTTTAGTCCACCCCCCCGCCCCAGCCCCGTTCTAAAGCAGGATCAAGTATGCCTATATCATTGCTGACAGATGATGTTTCTTAATATCAACCTATCTGTGGTAACCTGTTATAGTATTTAACCTTTCTTATCATTAGAAAAGTGTTTTCCTAATATCTGACCTGTTGCCTGTTACATCTGCCCTGTGAATTGAGCCAGTTAATACTACCCTCCATAGTAATTGATCATTGCGCCCTTTTAAATCAGACTTTTACATGCTGAAAGACTGGAAATGGCACATTCATATCTGAGTAGCTCACAATGTGTTTAATTCACAGTAAATTGCCAAATTAAAGCCAAGCTACTTAGATGCTGCTGTAACTTTTATTTCAAAAGGTGCCACCAATCCAGTCACCTGGAGTTCATCAGCAGCCCCATAGAGCCAATTGGATAAGCAGCACCCTTTGAAATAAAAGCTGAAGTGCACAGCTAGAGCATCTCAGTAGTCCCATGCAGTTTGTTGGCTGTGGGCATATGTACTTCTAACTAGTTTTGAAACCCTTATCTTCATAGCTGGCTATGGAACCTAATTTTGTAATAAAAAAAATCTCTGTTCTTCTATATCATGTACATAACGAGTATACATCAGGACATGGGAGAATGTCTGTTCATCAGAGTGCCCCAAGGAAAAACAAGGACCAACGGTCATAAACTCCTCCAAGACCATTTTAGGTTGGACATAAGAAAAAATTTCTTTACTGTCCGAGCCTCCAAGACCTGGAATAGACTCCCTCCAGAAGTGATGCAGGCACCTACTCTGGACTCATTCCAGAAGTGCTTGGCTGCTTACCTTGCTGGGATCCTTTGACCCTAGCTGACTTCCCGCCCCTGGGGCAGGGAGCTGGACTTGATAATCTTCAAGGTCCCTTCCAGCTTTAACATCTATGAAATCTATGTGCCCCACCCCGCACCATCTGGGATGCAAACAGACTGTGAATTCTTTCCAGTTTTTCTATATCTTTCTTAAAAATGTGATGTACAAAATTAGACACAGTATTTCAGGTGAGGACTCATCAGTGCTGAACACAGTGGAATAATGATCTCTATCTTGTATACGACATGTCTATTCCAGATCCCAGAACCAGTTTTGCCTCTTTAGCAGCAACATCAAACTGCCTCATATTTGATAAATATTTGCAATAAATCTGTTTTTGATGATATTCTTAAATAAATGTAAAGCAGATATGTCTAGTTCTGCAGTATAATCTGGAGAATATTAGCTAGAACTTTATGTATAATTGCTGTGTGTTTGTGTATGAACTGGAAATATGACCCAGCCTGAGAATTTATAGAATGGGATTTGAGGAGGGAGGGAGTTTTTAGTAACTGTTGTCCATAGCAGGAGATGCGTATTTGACCAGCTTTTCTGCTGAAACTATGGCACCCTAGCCGGAAGAAATTGCCATTTCTATTTTTTTATCCGTGGTTTGAGTAGTACCATAAAGCTGTTAATGTGACATTTTGCATTCTTTCTACATACTGTTGCTATTATTGGGAGGAATGGTAGGATTTGATCTGATGACAACGAATCAAACTGAATAGAGTATTTGTGCATCACTTCAAAGGTGTGCAGCGCTACGTAGGTGTGAAGTATTATTATTGATCTGTTTACTTTTTTGTTTTCACGTGCTGGTGATGTTTGAGAAGTTTTGTATCTGGCGCAGATGGGAGTCTGCGTGTGTCAGCCTGAGTGACTGAGTCAGTTCTTGGCTCAGACAGATAACATTTCCTTTTACCACAAGGGACTGTGATTACTAGCATTTCCCCGTAGGTGGGGGGGACAGTACCTTCATGACACTCAAGTTTCCCACAGAATATCCCACCTGCCCATGCTTATCTTTTATTAAGAAGATACTGAAAGACAGTGTCAGTGAAATCAACTTTCTCTTTAACCTAAACCAGTGAAAACTAAAATTAATTTCACCACATGAGTTTTGTTTTCGCTGCTGCTTAAAGCTATCCCCCTTCCCTTGCAGGGCACTGTACAGTCATTCAGTGCCCGATTTGGGGGCGGTGTGGTTGTAACCCAGTGGAGTATGACCCATTTTTTCATAATACTAGATACCTGTGTCTGTACAGCACACACCAGAAGATCCTGCGACCTAAAATCATCACGAGAAAAAAGTATACCTGACTTCGACAGTATTGTGTAAGCTACAAGGTGTTTTGGAGCAGCTGGCTCTGCGTGAGCCTACACGTTAATTACTAGAAGATGATGGGCAGTTTTGTCTAGTCTGCAGTTAATGAGCAAGTGCAGGTAAAGATATGATTTCTGGAGCTGACACTTTTGTGTCGCAGATTATTTTGTTAAATACTAATCGCTTGCTTGCTGCACATGTTTCCTGTTATGATTTACGGAGAGCAAGAGTGTTATAATTGAAGCTTTAGTAGCCATGATAACTTGCGTTTTCAAGAAGAGTGAGATGATTAATGAAAGCAGGCTCAGTTTTCCTTCCTATACCCCCCAGACCTCCCTTCCTTCCTCCCTTTCTTCCTTCCTCTCTCTTTCTCTCTCTTTTGGTTAGTCCTGTGCAGATATTCTCATGATGGCTTTGCTCATACTTGTACTGCTTAGAAATGTGTGTGCGGTAAGGAGAAACTTGCCAAACGTAGAAGAGAATGGTGACTGTAGCTTGCGTGTGGCTAGGTTTTGAATGGTCGTGCATAAAAATTAAGAAGTAATTTGCACAGCAAATTTTAGTGAAATGGAATTTAAGCATGATGAAATGAAAGCATGAGAACTAGAGAGTCTCTAGTTCTTCTAATGCTACTATTATGAGTGTGAAGGGATTTTTGGGGAAAAAAACAGATTCTAGGTAGTGCATTCAGTATAATTTCTCACTGATAAGTCAAAAATAGCCCCTTCTCAATCACCAGTTTGAAAGAGCTAGAAAAGGAAATATATCCTGTTCATTAACTATGTAAAATTGATCAATGCGTAGAAAACGTGAATTTGAGTACCTGTCTCCCAGACAGCGAATAAGAACAAAGAATGGGAGATTCTCTGACTGCATAAAAGGCCCCATTTATGTCCCGTCGCAGTGTATATGGTAATATAACTATATCTTTGCAGTTTAAAATAATGCAACAAAGCCATAAATATAAATTGGAAAAAACAGAACTGATTTTAGCTACTTGATATCCCTTGTTGAGACAAGACATTGGTTTAGGTTTTTTGCATTTGTATACTTTGTGCTGTAGGTGTTGGAAGTGTGGGTGGCCAAGAAAAAGCAGTGGTTACAATAAGATTTTCCATTTATTGCCCTTTGTGTACACCTAAAAATAAGATTCAGATGCTTCAGAATCTGTAGAGCAAGCATAATCATTCTGTTAGCTCTGATGGCTGGGTTGCACACAGCTCTGCCTCTGTCTGGTAAGTTCTATGTATGGGTGCTTGTAAGAGTGTCTTTGTTGAAATGAGAGGCAGGGCGTTTACTTACTCTGTTAGCCCACGTATGACACTTTATCAGCATTTTCTCATTCTAAGTATCAAAGCAAGGCTAATATATAAATAAGAAAGGTTTTGGGAAATAAAACTGTCCTGGTATCTGGGTAAAACAGCTGTAGAGTCTGTCATCCAAAAGCACAATTGCATAGCTTGAGCTGTTGAGCTATAACTTTTTGCTTTTTTTTTATACATTTGCTCTTTGCCAGTCTGCTGAACAGCAAGGAAAAGAATTCTTAATGATGACCTTTGGTATGTAAAACCCCTTTCTTTGCATTATTAGATGATAGGATTACTAAGTGCTGGCTTTTCCAGGTAGCCACATCTGTTAAAGGGTATGTTAAATTAGTTAAAACATACGTTTATTGAGCTGCTAAATCTAGTATGACCATACTAATTGACAATGTGTCAGTTTATTGTCTAGAAAAACACTAAGGAGAAATGTTGTCAGCATATGCAGGGAAATTCAGAACTTTTATGGTCCCAGCTCTGGTACTGTCCCTGTTTCACTCATGAAGTAGCTGTGGTATTTCCAAAGAATGAGTGTGCCTATGCATTTTGAGCTTTTCAGTTTGATGTGATTCGTTAAATGGGTGAATAGAGAAGCAAACATTCAGGAGATACTTTGTGAAGCCTTAAAAAATAAGGGTACAACCAAAACAGTTTGTTTTCCAGTGCATCTTGCCTTCCTGTCCATAGCCTTGTTCTCACTTCAGAAGTTTTCCAAGTTTCTAAAACAGAAGAAACATTCATTTTTGGTGGCTTTAAAACCAAGCTAAGCAAGAATATTGGTCTCCCATTCTGCACAGCCCTGCACAGTAAAAGATGATGTAGTGCAGACACTCAAAGGCATAAGCAGTTGTTCCATGGAATATTGATGCTGTGTGCAGTGGGCTTTTTATTATGCAATATAAAATTCCATTAAATTTGCTCCAAGTAAACCACCCCCTTCTTTTAGGAATAGAACTCTGTTGTGTGTGATTATTACCATCTATTCATCTCATCACCTTTGCTTTTTTATTTAAATACATATTTCTGCCGTAACATCTGTGCACATCCACTGTAGAACCTGCTGATATACCATATAAAAGGCATCAGTAATCAAGGCTTGAAATATTTCAGGTGGGAATGGGCAAAACTTCAGGAGTAATTAGCTTCTACAGTGGTGTTTTCTGCAGGGAATTAAATTACATCTGTTATAATTATCTGTGCGTCTCAATCCTGTAGGTGACCAGCTGCTGACGAGCAGGATAAACATTTGTTGTCATTTTTATTGTACATTCTCCATATTTGATACAAATATAGACTTTTTTTCCTTTTTTGTTGTTGTTAAGCCTGATACAGATGAGTTCAATCTAATTGCTTTGAAGATAACTCCTGGAGAATCTGTCAAGTGGTAAGCACACTCATGGTGCATTTGGTGCTTCTGTCTGTTTCCAATTGGTATGATACAGTATTTTCTCTTCCATGGGTATCACCCAGACACTACTTTCAGTAATGGCATGTAGGATGCATTGTTCAATTGGTAAACAGCATAGTCATCTTCATTTTTTAATCAGTAGCATTGTATTTTTCGCCTAGGGAGTCAGATGGAACCTCTTTAGTTTTCAGTAGGCTTTGCAGAGATGCTTAGTCTACTCTGCTCCAGTTTCTCTCATTTAAGAGCTAGGGACAGATGTTCAAAAAGCCAGAGCCTGAATTGATTCAATCGTTGTGGGTTAGTTTAACCTGCATAGATTGAACCAATTTGCAAATGAATAGACATTCACTTTTGACTCTGGAAATGCAGGCATGTACCTGCAGTGGCTCAGGCCAGAAGCTGGGGGGTGCTAGAGTCAGCCCTCAACTGGAAGGAAATTAAGTTGAGGTGGGGGACAGGGCAAGGCCCAAGAAGGCCTGAGTATGACTAGGGAGGGGTTTAAACCCAGCCAGGGTCTGCTTAGAGAGGGATGGGGAAGCAGCCCCTGTCAGGGGTCCGCAGCCCTCCCACCTCCACCCACATGTTGGTTGGTGGCAGGAGGGGGGGTGGGAAGCAGACCTCAGTAGCCTGAGGAGTTTAATCCCCCTACTGCAGGAGGGGGGGCGTGGCATGGGCACTGATAGGCCCTGCTCGTGCACCCGGGGCCACAGAGGCCAGAGGCCAGTAGCCTGAAGGAAGGGCAGCATTGCAGGCAGCAGCAGCAGGGGAGAATTGACACAGCACTCTGGGCCAAATCCCTCTGAGAAGTGGCCAGCCGGCCATGGGGCAGGGAGCAGGGAGGTGACCTGGTTGCAGGGAGGTGGGATGTGTCCTGGCTGCAGGGAATCAAGGAGCCGGGGCTAGTTATGGAGCCCAACTCCCCACTGCCTCCTGCTGTGGCAGCATGGCCTGGGCTGGGGCAGCACCAGCCATGGGGG